CGCTAGCGCTCGCAGTGCTTTTAAAAAATATAACTCTCCCGAGCGAGAGAGTATTTTGATGTATTTACGAGCTCTATTTTTTAAAACCTACAAGTGGGTAATCACATTATTTTTATAAATAGAATACAAGAAAATATTTTACTTTTATTTTGGCTACTCAGAGTTTAGTTTTTGAAATCGCCCGCGATGCAAATTTACATTGTAATATCTAATTTTCACATTTGATTTTTTTACGAGCTTTGAGAATATTTAGAAATGTATCAGCAGGGGGTCCACCGAAACCAGTAAATTTTCGAAAGGGGTCTACGAGAAAAAAAGTTTGGGAACCTCTGATCTAAACAATAGTCTTCGAGGGTCTTCTGTTAATCGATAAATTGTTTTACTGATTATTTCATTTTGTTTTTTTCTACAAAACCTCTGTGACCGCTAAGCATACATAAACCTAAATTAGAAGTACAAACCAAGTAGAAAATATTAAAAGATAATAATTACACGGTGTTACACTGATCATGAGCCTTTTAAATGACCTAGTATAGGTCGTAGGGCTGGTCGCGTAATTCTCGAAACTGCGTTTTATATTTTTGTAACACCCTCAAATTCTCAACTTATCCTTAAAAAACCATTTTCACATGACTTCCCACACTTAACCATTTTTAGCTCTGTTAGTTTTTACCCAATTTTAAGTTTTTATATGGCTTTGGAAAGAAGAATATTTGTACTATTTAAAGAAATAATAAGTTTTGTGAGTACATTGTAAATGTGTGGAAAAATTTTGGAATAAATTTGATGTTAACAAAAACTTTTATTATTTTTCCCAATTCGACATTATTTTTTTCCAAATTTTTAAAATAAAGTAATTTCTTTCAGTCATTACTTCGAAAAGAATGTTCAATTCCGCGTAAAATTAGCTACCATTTATAAAAATCAATAGAAAATTTCGGAAGTTATGAATTTTCTTAAGATTTTTCCAAAATCACTTCGATGTTATTTTACAGAAAAATTGAATCAGTTGGATTGGATTCATTCCGAGGTTTCAATAGTTCGTATAGAAAGATAAGCATTTTGCTCATTAAAAAAATGTCATAACTTTATAATCTATTTATTGATTTTAATGGCTGGTACCTAGTTTTACTCGGAATTAAGCATTCTTTTAGAAGTAATGACTAAACGAGCCATATAAAAACTTAAAATTGGTTCAAAAATAACCGAGATAAAAACTGTTTAGTGCCTGAAGTCAAGTAAAAATGGAATTTTAAGAATAAGTTAAGAATTTGAGGGTGTTAGAAAAATTTTGAAAACAGTTTCGTCAATTGCTCGGCCAGTACCACCTGTACTAAGTCACTTAAAAATTTTTAGAATTATTTTTATTTTATAACACCGTGTTTTTGTTTTAAGAAAATTACGGATATGACTGAGTAAAAATTATTAAATTTTCTGTTACCAGTTATTTTTTGTATAAGAAAAAAGCACCGATCAGCTGTTTATAAACATAATTTATCAGACTTACAAAAGTAAGCTGAAAAGGACCCATAAAATTTTAATTTATTGCATAATTTTTTGAATTGGAAATTGAGTATGAAATGCATAGAAAGAAACTTACAATGAAACTTTGAGGGGGGGGGGGGGGCTTTTTCCTTCTGGGTATTGTAGTATTGGTGGGTTAATAAATTTCTCTTTTAAACTATGAAATGATTTTTCGTATTTGAAAAACTTTTAAGAGGTTTTTTGTGGTGTTTTAAAGAACATCCAAAAACATTGATGTGCTTAGTGCAATTGTAAACATCCTTTGGAAACTATTTGATGATATTTTCATGCCGAATGGCAATCGTTTAATTTGGTAGTGTCCGTCATGCTGTTGGTGGTCTTGAATCGTTTTGTAAAAGTATTTGATGAAAAGAACTTGTCATGTCTTCTTCTTCTTCCTATTTGGCGCTGTAACCGCCTAAGCGATTTTAGCCGAGTTCAGAAAAGCACGTCAGTCGTTTCTCTTTTGTGCCAACTGACGCCAATTGGAAACGCCAACTTTGGGTCTGAGGCCCGCCACGTAAAATCAAGCTCCAATGAAAAAGAAAAACATAGCCTCGGATGAGAACCCCCCTCTTGATGACGACCACGGCGAACGTTTAAAGGACTACGATTTGAGGGCATGCACCTGGAATGTCTGGACCCTTAATGGAGAAGGTGCCTCTGCCCGGCTGGTTGATGTCCTCGTAAGGACAAAAGCTGACATCACCGCCATCCAAGAAATGCGTTGGATGGGGCAAGGCAAGCAATGCCTGGTGTTGGATTTGTGATGGGAGAGAAACTCCGTCGCCGAGTACTGTCGTTCACCCCGGTGGACGAGCGTCTAGCCATAATCCGCATCAAAGCAAGATTCTTCAACATCTCGATCATCTGCTCCCATGCCTCGACCTAAGAGAAGGATGAGGTATTCAAGGATCTCTTCTATGAGCGCTTGGAGCGCACATACGAGCGCTACCCCCGTCACGATATCAAACTCGTGCTTGGCGACTTCAAAGCCAGGGTGGGCAAGGAAGAGATCTTTGGACTCACCGTCGGAAAATTCAGCCTCCACCATGAAACGTGCGACATCGGACGGAGGCTGATCGATTTCGCCAGGGCCCGAAACATGGTAGTATGCAGTACTAGGTTCAATCATAAAAAGATTCACCAAGCTACGTGGCTGTCTCCTGATCGAAAAACGAGAAACCAAATCGAACATGTGATAGACGGAAGCCATGCTTCCAGTGCTTTAGACGTACGCACACTCCGAGGCCCAAACTTTGACTTGGACCACTATCTTGTTGCAGCCAAGATACACACGCGCCTCTCTGCAGCAAAAAATGTGCGCCCAAATATGCAAGGAAAGCTTAACGTCGAAAAGCTGCAATCACAATAGACAGCCAGTGTTTCGCTACTCGACTCCCACGCCTGCTCTCAGAGAGCACTCAGTGGAACCACATTTCCCGGTCATTAAGTACCGCCGCCGAAGAAGTAGTCGGATTTCGGGGAGCTTGAAAGAACAACTGGTACAATGAGGAGTGTCAGAAAGCTGCAGGTAAAAAAATGCCGCCTACAGGACCACGCTGCGATCGGGCGCAACGCTAGCTATGTGGGACCGATATAGGAATCTGAAGAGGGAAGCGAAACATATTTGCCGCAATAAGAAGAGAGAGGCCGAAATGCGTTAGTGGGAAGAGCTTGAAAAGCTGGCCGACAGGAAGAATGCCCGAAAATTTTACCAGCGAGTTAGGCGGCTTACGGAAGTTTCCAAGACCAGGGGGTAAATTTTCGTTCTGTGAAACGATGAAATGAAAACTTTTTTCGCGTTTTCATTGCACTTCCGATTCGCTTTCAGTGAAAAATGAAAAGAAACGTCAAAGTGTTTTCACATGAAAAAAAAGTGGAACGAAACTAAACTTTTCACTTTTTCACAACCCTGACGATTCTCGTTGTGTGAAACAGTGCAACCAACTGTCAAAAACTTATCACGTGAAAACAAGATGGAGAAGGTACCAAGAGGAAAGCGCGCCAGCGAAAACCAAAAAGAGTTTTTAATAAATTATCTAGAAGACAATGTAGACATTGCAAACGACAAGTATGAAGCCTTTTTAACATAAACAAACGAATACCAATTATTTATAATTATAGATTTGTGACGGCAGATGGTGCCAAATTTCGCGAAGAAAAGTGGAAAAGCGGTGAGCCTTAATGCTCTTGGCGGCACTCAAAAGGATGGTGCAAAATGGAAGAAGTATTGGAGCGATTTAAAGTATGTATATAAATTTTTCATGATGTGATTATTTTTTTAATGTTTTGTTTTAATACCTACAAACAGACTTCATACTCGCACAAAATATAGTGCGATAAGGCAGGCAGAGCAGAGAAGCGCATAATTAAGATTACAACTGTGCAGGCAGTCGATGGTGATGAAATGGGCGAAGTGGGCTTTGAAGCACTCGACATGGCACAAGCTTCTCACAATCTCGCTGACATTGTGGAGGAGACATTCGAAGTTGTTGTGGCTGAATGCGAGTTAGATGGTACTGCAGCCGCAACCACATTGGAAGATGCAACTACGTGTCCAATGATGGGGGTGAGCACCTCAACTGCTGCAGCAATAAGAGGCAGCACAGCAGCAGCCCGTTCGAGAGGTCGAAAAAGAAAGGCGCAAGCAGAAAACCCTCAGTTAGAAAAATTTTTTAGGCTAGAGGAAATCAAGGCAAGGGAAATTGAGATCGCCAATAATTTAAAACGCGAACAGATCCAAGCGGTGAAGGAGCAGACAGAGGCAATAATAGTGGGCACGCAAATGAAAGAATGTATTGTAGAAAAACTACAACATTTAATTGAAATTTTGAGGCGGCCGTGAGAATGTTTTAATTTTAGAAACAGCCTTGTCCATAAGTATTATACAATTTTTATTATACCTTTTTCTAATGCTTAAGAAAACTTGAAGTCCTTTTTATTCTTAGTATTTTTAGAGCTTAAGAAAATATGAAGTCGGTTTTACTTTTAATATTTAGAATTTAAGAAAACATGAAGTCGTTTTTACTTTTAAACTTTTGTAGAGTTTAGGAAAATATGGAGTCGATTCTATTTTTATTTTTACTAGAGTCTATGAAAATATGATTTTTTTTTAGCTTTTAAAAATATATGAATTTCTCTGTTTAATGAATTTATGTACAAACTTGTGATAAAAACTGCATTTAAAAATACTTATCTTGGAAATATAGCAATCTATGTGTGTATTTTTATATTTCTTCTGGAGCCTAATATGAGATATCGAATATGAAAGAATTCGATTTTTTCTTTATTTTTTAGTCTTTAAGAAAATATGAGGTCCTCATTGCAATGAATTTATGAACAAAACTTTTTGTGATAAAAACTGCCTTTAAAAAGAATTTAACATTTGAAATATAATATACATATGCATATTTATTAATATATGTAAATAAGTAAAAATACGAATGTAAAATAAAAAGTTGAATTGCTTTCAATCTAATTTTGAATGTTATTAGTAAAAGCATTTTGAACAATTTGCAATCGTTGTCTTTTCGCAATGGATAATATATTCTGTGTTGAAATAGCTGAATAAGGGCCACCACATTCTTCAGGTTCATCAGAGTCTTCCAAATAAATTTCATCGAACGGCACTCTAGCCCGAATCAAGTAGTTGTGTAAAACCAGGCAAGCGTTGATTATGAGGCCTGCTTTTGGTGGACTGTAGAAAAGGGCTCTTTCCTTCGACAGACACCGAAATCTGCTTTTTAGTAAGCCAATGCATCTTTCTACAAGAGCTCGAGTTGACTTGTGTGCTATATTGTAGCGCTCTTCTGCGGTACATGATGTCGCACTAATTGGTGTCATCAGCCAAGGCTAATTTAAAATTTATATTAGCATTAGATCTTTAACAAAGAAAAATAATATAAATTGTACCTGTAGTGGGTAGCCACTATCACCCAGAAGCCAAAAATCGCGCTCACCCGCCTCATAAAGCTCCTCCAGAGCTCTGCAAGCTCGAGAGCGACGCCATACATATGAGTCATGAGCAGTACCTCCGAACCGAGCGCTAGCAGATAAAACGATATAATCAGCATCACATATTATCATAACGTTCTTGGAGTGACCACCCTTTCGGCAATAGTAAACATGCTCAATTTCTTTCTTCGGGGCTGATATTTTGATGTGCGTTCCGTCTATGAGTCCGATTATTCCAGGAAATTGGTATTTTTCCATGAATTTTATTTTGAGCGCCGGGAAGTCTTCGCGTTTTGGGAACTTTATATGTCTGTGGGCTATGTTATTAAGTGCAGTTGCCACCACTTGCACACATCTGCTAACTGATGTTTGGGATAAAGCAGATAAACTGTCTTGCCCCACACTTCTTTGAAAGTAACCAGTGGCAAAAAACGCAGGGCGCTTAAAATAATTACATGACTCGGAACAGCATGTCTCCGTTGCGAGTTCGGCATAAATGGCATTAATTCATTAATTAATTCCAGGCACAAAGCTTTAGGGAACCGATATAAATCAATGAAATGCTCGTCTGTTGTAATCTCAAAGGGATTTTGGTCGTCGCGAAGTCTGCGCTGGAGCACTCTCAAATTATCTCTGAAATACATAATGCGTTAAATTGTATATACCGCATTTAAAAAATTTACACCTTCATTACCTTTGCGCGTCTCGAACTCTTTGCGATAATTCTACTAAAATAATTATTCCCGACATGTTTTGTTTACGTTTTCCTCAACTTTGACATTTACTTCGAAAATTCAATAGCACAGTTGCAAAAGTTTCACGACTATAGTGGTAATGGAACACGATTTTCACAACACAAACTAGAATCGCAAAATAAGTGTCTGTGAAAAGGCAGAGTGAAAAGTAGTTGTGAAAACGAAAATGAAAACTTTTTTTCACTTCATCTTATCACAGAACGAGAATTGACCCCCAGGGCGTACTCCTGTAAGCACAACAATGGCGACCTAAATACCGATGTTCAGAATGTACTTAAAATATGGAGGGAACACTTTTCCCCGCTACTGAATGATAGCAGCACGGAAAGTTCTGGAGAAGAACCCGAGCCCCCAGTCGATGATGACGGAGTCGATGTTCCTCCGTCTGACCATGACGGGGTAGGAATAGCAATAATGGTGGCGAGGAGTTCATAAGGTGCATGCATCCACTCTTATGCAGAATATGGTCAGATGAACGCATGTCCGATGAATGGAATTTAAGTCTGCCCTGCCCAATCTACAAGAAAAGCGACCCCGCCATTCGCGCCAACTGCCGCGGGATCAGTCTTCTATGCATAGGTTACAAGGTTTTATGTAGCGTATTTTGTGAAAGACTGAAGCCCACAGTCAATGAACTGATTGGGCCTTATCAGTGTGGCTTTATGCCTGGAAAATCCACCTTGGTCCAGGTATTCACAATACGCCAAATCTTGGAAAAGACCCGCGAGAAAAGAATCGACACTCGCCACCTATTCGTCAACTTTAAAGCAGCTTTCGACAGCACTAAAAGGAGTTGCCTATACGCCGCTATGCCTGAATTTGGAATCTTCGCCAAACTGATACGGCTGTGTAAAATTACGTTGAACAATACCACCAGCTCCGTCAGAATTGGGAAAGACCTCTCCGAGCCGTTCGCCACCAAACGGGGCTTAAGACAGGCGACTCTTTTTCATGTGACTTCTTTAATCTGATTGGATTATCTGTTAAAAAACTCAAGGAGAATCTATACAAGGTGATGTAACA